TTGCTTGAAAAATTAACGTTTCGGACGGATTTTGGACTTAATGCTATTTTCGGGCTCTACCAGACGGAGCGACTTCAAACAACGCCTCTTGGTAAGAGAAATGTGCCGCCTCTCATGAAAAAAAATGTGAAAAGCGGATTGATAAAAAACAAGGAGGAACAAATTCCTGGAGAAAATGGCATTTGTCCATGATGTGCCACTTACAAAATAACACAGGTTTGCTGCATAGCCTGATACGTTTGACAATTGAAAATGTTATCTTTGGGAAGAGCATTCAATTTTCTCCTAGATCCACTCATCATTTTTGTATGACTAGCAACAGTATTCTTAATATAAATGTAGCCATTTTCATATTCTGCATTCATTCCATTTTCAACTTCTGCATAGCCATTTTAGCGAAATTCATCTACGGCTTCATTTTTTTTTTCAATGATCTACGCACCAATGCTATAAAACACGATTTGACATGTGCTAAAGTAGAAAGCATGCTTATTGCTTATCAGACACGGGCACCTCGATGCGATGGCTATTTTTTTCCCAAACCAAAATGTTAACCCGTCAAAAAGCAATCGACCGAAATGGATAGATAACCCACGGGCACAAGACCAACCAAACGCCCACCGATCGAAAATACCCCTTATTCGCGCTGCGGAGCAAGCGGGTCACCCTAGCGGGCCTCATCCACCCGGGGACCCGGGCACCATCCACCCGGGGGGCCCGGGCCCGTTCTCCCGGGGGCACGAGCCCCGTTCTCCCGGGGACCCGGGCCCCATCCACACGGGGGCCGGGCTCCGTCCACCTTGGGCCCCAGGTCCCTCACCCGTGGTGTCCCAGTAGGCATTTCTCGAAGCAGGCTCGTCCGATTAGATTAGGACATCTCTCTCTCTCCTCTCTCTCTCTCTCTCTCTCTCTCTCTCTCTCTCTCTCTCTCTCTCTCTCTCTCTCTCTCTCTCTCTCTCTCTCTCTCTCTTTCTCATAACGGGCCCTTGGCAGAATTTTTTTTTTTTTTGGGGGGGGGGGGGTCAGCTGACCCTCTGACCCCCCCTGGCTGCGCCACTGAGCTGACCGATAGAGCTGACAGAGCTGACAGACAAAGCTGACCGACAGAGCTGACATACAGACTCATAGCTGACCGATAGAGCTGACAGAGCTGACAGACAAAGCTAACCGACAGAGCTGACATACAGACTCATAGCTGACCGATAGAGCTGACAGAGCTGACAGACAAAGCTGACCGACAGAGCTGACATACAGACTCATAGCTGACCGATAGAGCTGACAAAGCTGACAGACAAAGCTGACCGTCAGAGCTGAACCACAGAGCTGGCACGGGCGAGAACTCTGGTGATGTTTTCCTACCTAACGGAAAAGTGCCAACGCTGGCTAATTTGAAATAGCTTTGATTTTGTCTTAGAAGGCATACGCTTTAAATTGCTACTGACTCTGCTGACTTGCATCTATTAAGATGGGATTTATTATTTGTATCTTTACTTGATATCGTATGGTGAATCTAAGCTTTGTTCATTTGGTGTACACTCCTTGATAATCTTAAGAAAAGGTTTCTTATATTTTTTGTAGAAAGAACTTCTATATTTAAGTTCTTTCTTTAAAGTTGCATTGGCTTGGCCCATTGAGTAGGCCTGCCAGTATGCTAGACAAATGGACAAAAGACGTAAGACGTTGTCTACGATCGGCTGCTGTCATTCAATGGATCATTTATCGTGTCTATAAACTTTTGCCATTAGTAATATCGTTATGGATATAAGTATGCCAAAGTTTTCGCTTTGCTAACTTCCAAGAGAGAAGCAACTCTTTCGCTTTAACGATTATATTTTCAAATAATATAATTATTCGAATGTCAGACGTCTTCGTCGCCCACATTTCCAGTAATCAGCCCCGGAGCCAGTCCGCTACATTACACAAACCGATCGAAACACTGATACCATCGACTGTCGTTACTCTATCTCTAAGGTTTTCTCCGACGTCATTAAGGAACGCCCATTTAAGGCAATGCGACCATTACATAAAGAACCCAATCAAAGGTCATCGGAGGCTGATCTCTGAGCTCGGTCATTGGAACGGCTGCTGGCGCCGCGTCTGTCCCCGCCCGTGGCTCTCCGCGGCTCTGCAGCTATACCCCTGCCCGTGGCTCTGTCGGTCGGATCATCTCTGGAGTAGATGCCAGGCACGGTCCGAGCCAGCTAACCCGCTCACAAGTGCCTCGGCCGTGCACTCAGAGGATTATCCGCCACGGAGCGGGGGCGCGGCGCCGGGGGCCGGACGGATAGCCATGCTCGAACATTGTGAGCTGACGCACAACAGCGCGCGGGACGCAGTCGATACAGGGAGCAGGCCGAGACTCTGCACTGACATGGTGGGGCAATAATTAAGAAACTGGCGCAAGGCACTAACCATCTTACAGACTTCAACTTTAGCCTAGCCTAGCCTTTGCCTATCTGTAGACTTCAACGCAACACATTACAATGGAATGTGTTCACGTGAGGTCGATTTTTAGTTGTCAATTGGAATAGGACTGTCGAGCGATAGCTGTTATGCCATCCGATAAATTTGTACGCATTCCTGCCAGTCAAAATGACCCAATATGAGAAATCTAGGAACAGTGTGATACTGGGGTGTAAAAGGCTATTACAATTTCTCTGTACCTATGCTTCAGAGCATTTGTCCCTGGGATGTTTTAACAAGCGGTTTTATTGATCACGAAACTCGTAAAATCACTCTTATTTTGGGTCAGTGCTTGAATGAAATCGACTACTTTTACTCCAGCCTTGAGACAGAGGCCATTGTTACGCCATCTCAGGCAATCCGTTCTGTTTTGCGGCGAGCTGAGCTTATTCTACGGTCCGCGAGGAATCCGCAGACCAGACTTAGACGATGACATGTTTTTGCCAAACGAAATTGGTGTTTTTACCAGAAACCGCCGTCCTGAACGTGCTGTCGGAGGCTGCTCCGGCGAGGTGAACCGGCTGGTGAGGACCGGGTGTGCACTGCGGAGCCAGTGTTTGCTGATTCGTCAGGACCAACAGCGAGCAGCTGTCGCCGATGCAGTTTGCGTGGAGCAAATACTATACGGCGGCAATGATTGCACTGTGAACGAAACTGGCTGCCACTGGACATAACTTTGAAAACAGTCATGAGACCCAAAATAGCATACATACCTTTGCATTTGTCGGACGGTCTTTTTCGAGACGGTCTACTTTTATTCACCATTTTCCACAGAACCCAAGACTCCCCGTGCGTTCCCGAGTAGCCTCCCTCCCACCCTTGGTAAGCAGAGTCATGGCCTCGGCGCCCCATGCGTCACCTTGCTGCCTTTCTCGGAGGACAGGACCGGTGGGATCGGGTGTCACGCGCTAATGGACGCACACACGCAAAGGCCACGTCCGTCGGCTCCGGCGTGGGAGGAGCTCGGGAGCCCGGGTGCTCTAGGGTCCAGCAATCGGTCCGTTTTTGAGTTCTGTCGTGACATCAAATGGGTTTGGGTTTGGTTTGATTGCTTTTAGTGTTTTTTGTATTATTCACATACTGCATTCTCTCCTGTTCATTTATTGCTCGGGGAATGAAGGCAGCTCTCTGTTCCCAGACGATGGAATACGGCAGCGTTTTATCTTATTGTTGTGATGTATATGTTACAGGGAGTTTGAGAAATCCGTGAGTTTGCAAACTCCCTAGGGAGTTTGCAAACTCCCTGACCCATCAGTGAGTTTGCAAACTCACTAGGGAGTTTACAAATTCACTAGGGAGTTTGCAAACTCACTGACCGGTCAGGGAGTTTGAGAAATTCCACAGCGATTGGGCCAAATGAAAACAAGTGTGCAGCATGTGGGTGGCATACGTGCTGTCCGTGATGTTAAAACAAAGGTGGCTAGTTGTAGGGCCTCGCACGCTGACAAAAAGCTTAGAGATCCTTAATTGTTTTACCGAAAAATGCTACTCTCGCGGCTATGTAAAGGGGAGGTTCGGAGCAACGTGCTCCTCGGTTCCGTCGTTTCCATCCTCAGGAATCAGGATACTGAAATCCTTCTCCTTCACGCCGAAACCCCCCACTCCGGGCTGGACAGGCACCTTTATCTCATGCGGGCTGCTCCCTTGGAATCCCGCTACTCCCGAGGGAATGCACCCCGTAGCCGGGTGCAGAGAGTGCTTGGGGGGCTGGTCGGTCTGTCCATTCGGACGGGCTCAGCCCCGGCGACTCTGTAGGGTGCCTGCCCAGACCAATGTCTCCCCCTAATTCCTATCATTCGTCCGGCTCTGAAATGGTCTTGTAAGACCGAAAGGGCCTAACCCAACAAAACAAAAACAAACAAGCAGCGTGCGCCAGTCGCAGCTGGGCTGGCTGCCAGCAGCGCCGGCTCTCGATGACACGTCTATGGCGGAGTGGGAATGGGCGTGAATCGGTGCGTGTGCCTGTACTTTAGCATAAGTGACCAACAGTGAGCTGTTTCTACTTTGATATTGAGCCTGACTCTGGAATAGCCACACTTGAGTGGAACGGATCTAATTGGGACGTGAACTAAATAAATGTATGACTAAATAAGGCGGTACATGCATGGATAGATCACTGAGCAGTTTAAAATCAGAAAGGTATTTATGGTGTGCATATGATCTATAAGCGTTTTGTCAGCGTGCGAGGCCCTACAACTAGCCACCTTTGTTTTAACATTACGGACGGCACGTATGCCACCCACATGCTGCACACTTGTTTTTATTTGGCCCAATCGCTCTGGAATTTCTCAAACTCCCTGACCGGTCAGTGAGTTTGCAAACTCACGGATTTCTCAAACTCCCTGTAACATATATATTCTTGGGGCTTATGTAAGTTGACGATGAACGGTGAACTTGGTTTGAACTAAAATAGTTTCATGCCGTTACATATGAATCACCCTAAGAAGGCCTCGTCAAATCTGCAGCACCAATACAATTTTACAATCCCCCACCCCATCGCCAGCGTATTGTACCGCCGTGGCCCACGCTGAACCCACCTGGTTCTCGGCCGTCAGCAGCTTGATCTGGTCGTTCATCAGGCTGTACTTGGCCGACTCGTCTTTGCGCATCTGTCGCTCCTTCTTCAGTTCCGGCGACCAGAAAGTTTTGATGCTGTGCATACTGGAACCGAGCTTCTGGTTGGTGAGTTCCAGCTCCTTTTTGAGCTGGCTCAGCTCTCGGTGAAACTCGCCGTTCTGCGCCTGCATCTCCACAATATACGAGTCGCGCGTGCCGCCGTGCTTGCCGCCAAAGTCGGCACTGGGCGACTGGCGAGCCGAGCGCGACATGTGGTGCCCCGGCGGCGGCCCGTACAGACCCTCATCGTCCAACATCCCGTCACGGAGACCGTCTCGCATGCCATCTCGCATGCTGTCACGCATGCTGTCGCGCATCCCGTCTCGCATGCCGCGCTCGAGCGAGCGTTCTCGTCTGGGCGGCATGCCGAGGTCGGGTCGGTCGCGCGGCGGCGGTTCGCGGATGGGCACAAACTCGCGCTCATGTCCGTCACCATGGTAACCGCGCGACGAGGCGCCGCGCGACGTGGATCGCGAGCGGTGGTGCGAGTTGGCGCGCGGCCCGCCCCGGTCCAGGTGGTCCATACCCGGGCTGGCCAGCTCGTCCGGGTACGAGTTGATGTGCGACGAGGAGGCCGAGTGCGGCACGCGCCGCGGCTCGCCGGGCAGCGGCGAGTTGCTCGTGGAGCGGCTGTAGCGGCTGCGGCGCACCAGCGGACTGCCGCCGCGGCCGGCTCCGCCCGACGCCGGCGGAAAGGCGCCCGTCACCGGCTCGGCGCGGCGAGCGGCGCGCCCGGCCGGCGGCTCTCCGTACAGGTCACGCGACATGACCGGGCAGACACGATCGGCGCCGCGGCGCTCATGCTGCCGGCGGCCGGCGCGCTCACCACTGACCGGCCGATACCGGCCGCCGCCCACCGCCGCCGCCGCCGCCGAGCGAGCCGAGCCGACGCGCTGCCGACGCGTGCGATCAATCGGCGCTCGACGCACGCCCGGCGGCGTTGGCGGGACGTTATGTTGGCGCGCGCCCTCCGAGCTGCCGTGGCTGAACCCTGAGCTGGGGACTCGGGAGCTGGCCACAGGACAGACACTAGATAAGGCTGGAAGGGCCCATGAAACGCAGCTGACACGGCAGAGGCAGAGCTGACCGGAGACGTCGCCAACGTCGGGCGATCTCCCGGCGTCGGGAAGGGAGGAGAGCGCTAGAAACCAACACGTTAGCCGGAGGCTGGCTCCGACCGAGAGGCGAGCGAACCGCCGTGTCCGACGCTCGAACAAAGCCACAGGCCGACCACTCAGCCCCGGCAGCGCCAGTTGGGTTCAAGTCATTCTGCCAGCGCCCGTTTACCGTGCCTCATCCACGATCGGTCCTGTCTATCCTGCCCTGTGCACCGTCATCGATGAAGTTTTTGCCTTTGTCCTCTCTGTGATCGTTTTTCCGGCGGTTACTAGTTGCTTACTGTAAGCGTTTCGATATTCATATAGATGTCGTTATCAAGCGACATTAGGAGGACAATTACATTGAGCTTGATACTGACCTCGGTACGAAAATTCAAAGCGAAACATTATCGACTGGTAGCCGGGAGAGGCGGATCATTGACAGGAAAAGTCTGGTCGTAGAAGCCTACAACTTCCACATGTTCTGTCTGTTCTGTCGTGTTCAAGCTCTGCCTTCTCCACACCTACTCTATCAGTATTCAGTAGTTCACTTCTTTCCTGTCCACTCTGCTCCGTCTATCCTGTTCTGTCCACCCTGCCCTTTCCGTGCCCTCCCCTGCCTGGTCACCGTGTCCCTGTGCGCCCCCGCGGCAATGGCCGTCTGATGACGGCCGTCCGCCGGCCATCGCCTCGGCTGACGGATGACGCCACCGCCGGCCGGCCGAGCGGACGTCATCGACCGCCGCCGGCGGCGACCGACCCAGTTCCGATCGGCCGGCCGACCCGATGACCGAGCGGGGTTCCCCGGCCGACGGAGGGCGGTGCGAGGGTAGGCCCTCAGCGAGTTAGAGGGGACCGTCGAGCTCAAACGGACCGCCGCGCCGAGGTAGCAGATCAAACGGCAAGGAACTATATTCCGTCGCACGATGGCTTCAACAACGGTACGATTGGATAGTGGCCTGGGGAAAGGTAATCGATTGAAGTTACCGCTCCATTCTAGAGCGGAATGTGCAACCATCGAAGGTGATCAGCATTACGGTGGAATGACCCGTTCAAGATGAATGTAGGTCGCTACTCACGCAGGTTTTCTTGTCGATATCATCGGACTCAACTGCTTATCTTAGTTAACCCATTGAGCGCCTGTCGCTCAGACCGCTGCACTGGACACCTGTTCAGACCTGCCGGGCGTCTGTTCACCCCTGTTCACCCCTGCTGTCCTGGTGACTGTCCAAACCTCCCCTACCCAACCGGGCGCCTGTCTGCAGCGTCACCCCGGCTGTCGGGGCTCCCCTGTGGTCGCCGAGTGGTGTAGGTCCTGACGGGCACCGATCCAGGGCGCTGGTCGGAGACACGGCCCGATAATGAACGCCGTTCACGGTCAGCCAGCGTGGGGTAGGAGGGAGGGGTATGGTTCAGAGAGGTCACGATATGTCCCCCAGCACGCGCCGGAGTGGCTCGGCAGCCAGGTGGGAAAGTATGCGACATCGCGACACGACTGCCTCGGCAGGACTGCATGTGATCGCACCCGGGCGTGGTAAACACAGTGGTGCTGATCTGTGATTCGTCAATTCCTACGAAACTTAATGCCTTCAGCGGAAAGTTTACATCTTTCTATGAGCTTACATTTGAACAGATAAATGAAACATTAATCCATACTTAACTCAACTAAAATAAAAAGTGTCAAGTGATAGACCTACTCCGGCTTGTTTACTAGCTTAGGAGTTAGGTAAGTAGGTTTATTTAATTTCAACGATAATCCAGAACAGAAATAAAAGCGGCAGCAGAACAGGGTATCTGACCGTCACCCGTTTTCCGTTTTGTGTGTGTAGGAGGACTGGGGGAAAGGCCGCGGAACCTGACGGGAAGATCGCGTGCCCATTTTCTGTCCGGGTGCGTGACGGAGTCGGCCGCGATTGTCCATGTGAGGACATTCCTGACCGCAGGTGGCGCCGTCAACCTCGTCCATCCAGTGGGATAGAAGTGGTTCGATGGTACTGGTCCTGTTGAGGTACTCCAAAAGGTAACGTTTACCTGGAATCTCTGTATAACTAGTTTCGCGGGCGCAAGCGTGCTTTAGTTATATATTTAGCCAATAGATGTCGCCACAAGGACTGCCTGAAGTGGTAGACTGTACCGCAAGACAGGGTTATCTTCTTGTGATGTATGGCGCTCATGGAAAATGGCAGACATCTCTTCGCAGTTTCGCAGCAAATGCGGCGTTACATATTCAGTCACTAGATGTCGCTAGCAGTACTGCCTGAAGTGGTAGACTGTACCGCATGACAAAGTTGTCTTCCTGTGATGCATGGAGGTCTCGTCGCTGACCGCATCAGCACATAAATACAATAGGGGCGGTAGTTACATGCTCAGTCAATAGATGTCGCCAGCAGTACTGCCTGAAGTGGTAGGCTGTGCCGCAAGACAAGGTTATCTTCACGTGTCGCACGGCTGTCTTTGCACTTGGCAGTACCAAATTGTGAAAATATGTTTTATCCTACCTACTTGTTTGGATGTGTGGCTCTGAAATCCGATTACTCTCTCAGCACCAGTCCGACTCTCCATCGCCTGAGACTCCGCTCACCACAGCCCCAGAGACAGCGTTTGCACATAGAGGTGTTATTATTAAGGATGGGGAAAGCAAGCCACTCAACATTCGCAATCCATTCCCTCTCTACTCACACACAACCTACGGCCCAACCAGCGCGCCATCAGCGCGGCTGGTTGAACCCGTTGTAGTACTTACATGATCACTTTCACAACACTCGCAGTCGCACACACCAGAGCACTCAGCGGCCTCGGGGTCTCGACCGACGGGCCGAGATAACTCGAAGACTGCTGACCGAAGAGCTGCCGCAGACTGACGAAGACTGAAGACCGAAGGAGACTGACGAAGACAGAAAACTCCCTGCTGGAGACTCCGCCTGGAGACTCCGACTGGAGACTCCCACTGGAGATTGGAGACTGGAGCCGAAGAACTGAACTGACTTGAACCGCCGAGCACACGCTTTATATACGGCGGCGCCACGGCCAGCCTCGCCCCCTCCCCAGTTCGCCGTCGGGAGGAGGCCCACGTGACACCACCGTCGAGCTGAGCTGGTCCAGGGCGGGGTCGCCTCAGGCCCTCGGCACCCCCGCCCCGTACGTCCCCACCCCGGGCGCTCCTCGTCGGCCGTGACTCGCCCCACCGCGCGGGCTGGCTGCACCGCTGCCCCGGGCGCCGTCGCCGGGCTGCCGTGCCCTTGGTCCACTATGCCAGGGTCGGCTGGTCCAGAGTCAGCCCTGGCGAGGTGCGCCTGGGCCGCCTCGGGCGTCGCTGTCAGGCCGACGGGACCTTGGCCGAGCATTCCGAGTGCTGGCGGCCCGGCTGCTCGGTGTGGCGATGTGAGAGAGGCCGGCGTGTGCCTAGTTTTCCACAAAATCGTAGATAGTTGAAAATGCATTTGACAGTGAAACTAGCACAGACAATAAAATTGTTTCTTCATGGGCTCATAACGGGCGATATACAGGAGTAATTACGAGCGAGCGAGCGCAGCGAGCGAAGCGAGGCTTTTCAATATAACGGAAAAATATCAGATGAGCGGCCCGGCCCGGCCCGGCTTGTAACGCTTTTGAGAGGCTTATATCTCAGCAACCGCTGGACCGATTGGCCTGCGGTCTTGTTTGCTGGGTAGCCCCATCCCTTCTACCCCGTAATTGACTACATTTGATACATCTCAGTGACCGTCGTGGCACGTGCCACGTGAAAAGTCAAGGGTGTTCAAGCTGTTTTGCAAAAGTAGTGATTTTGAGAGGCCCATATCTCAGCACTCAGCAGCCGCTTGGGCGATTGTCTTGCGGTAACTTTTGTAGGGTAGCTGCATCCCTTCTACCAATGGTCGGACACTCTTGATCTATGTGAGTGACCCCCACTGCACGTGCAAAATGCAAAAAGAAGAGGTGCCAAATTTGTTCCCATTTCAATAACTCGGTAATTACTGGGGCGATTTCGCTGAAACTTGGCATACCTACAGGTTGGCACCCACCAGGCAATGCATTCCCATGTGTTGCGGTTAGGGTGCTACTGCATGTGCGCACGTGCAGGGGCGCTCCCAGATCTCGAGAACGGCTGGGCCGATTGCGCTCAAATTTGGTACACGGCTGGGGACCAGTTAGTAGGGTGCCGTGCAAAAGTCAGTTTGGACCCCGTTTGCACGTGCGCACGTGCAGAATGCCGCTTCCAGATCTCAGGAACGGCTGGGCCGATTGCGTTCAAATTTGGCACACCGCTAGCGACCGGTTAGAAGGGTGCTTTGCACAAGCCCGTTGAAAGTACTCTCTCGCCCTTCCGCACGTGCAGGGCTCACTATCTCGCTCGCTCGTTCTTCGCCCAAAAGGCGTTCTATTGCGGTTACTCATAAGAGCCCAGCCATATAAATATGGTATCAAACTATGTAAACGGTCCACTGAAAGCTCGAGTGGTATTTTTTTACGGATCTTAGATGTGGCCATGTCAACAGTTAACGATATTCATAATCACGTGCTGCTATCCGTAATTTGACGAAAAAGAAGACTAGTCAGAGTGGGCTGTTGCAAAGGCACTCGGAACAGCCATAGCCCTCTGCATTGGATGTGATTGCTCCACTCTTGCCTGTTAGGCGCCGTGCTGGTGAAGTTCACCGTTGACTTCACTCGGCAAACACCCCCCGGTGGCACTCCACACCTAAGTGGCTGTTCGTACTCCGAGCCTCCGCCGCTGGCACACCTAACACAGC